CTGAATGTATCATATCACAGGAAATTGTACAGCGGGTTGTAAACCTGGTTTTAGTGGTGTTGATTGCACAAAACGTAAGTAGCAATCTATTAATAAGAACGACAAATTGAAAAAAACCAATGATTTTCACGATACACAACAAACAACTTAATCTAGAGTTTTTCGTTCAATTAATGACAAACGTTTAATTCAAATTGTGTTGTAGGGATTTGGTAAAATAAAACAATGGCTTTTTAGACCATAAGTCAAATTAACTAAATTCCAAGAATTAATATGTGAATCAAGTCAATTAATTATTTGAATATGATGATATTTTTTCAGATTGCCCCGAAGCTTCTTACGGCAAAGAGTGTTCGAAAATGTGTACAGATAGAAATTGTTTACAGAATCAAAATTGTGACAGTATGAATGGCAACTGTGTTGATGGTTGTCAACCAGGTTTTATTTCAATCGACTGTACACAAGGTAAATATAATATAGTGAATACAGTATATAATAATATTAATGGTAGATATTATATTGATGGTTGTAGACCAGGTTTTATATCAGTTGACTGTACACAAGGTAAATATAATATAGTGAGTACAGTATATAATAATATTAATGGTAGATATCATATTGATGGTTGTCAACCAGGTTTTATATCAATTGACTGTACACAAGGTAAATATAATATAGTAAGTACAGTATATAATAATATTAATAGTAGATATTATATTGATGGGTGTATACCAGGTTTTATATCAATTGAATTGACTGTACACAAGGTAAATATAATATAGTGAGTACAGTATATAATAATATTAATAGTAGATATTATATTGATGGTTGTAGACCAGGTTTTATATCAGTTGACTGTACACAAGGTAAATATAATATAGTGAGTACAGTATATAATAATATTAATAGTAGATATTATATTGATGGTTGTAGACCAGGTTTTATATCAATTGACTGTACACAAGGTAAATATAATATAGTATGTACAGTATATAAAAATATTAATGGTAGATATTATATTGATGGTTGTAGACCAGGTTTTTTATCAGTTGACTGTACACAAGGTAAATATAATATAGTGAGTACAGTATATAATAATATTAATAGTAGATATTATATTGATGGTTGTAGACCAGGTTTTATATCAAGTTAACCAACGAACATGATATTTCTAGAATGTGATGATGGTTTCTATGGTGAAAACTGTAATAAGAAATGTTCAGAGAGAAATTGTATAAATAACAGTACAGTTTGTAGTAAAGTTGATGGTAGTTGTAATGGTGAATGTCTAGATGGTTATAGTGGTGTAGATTGTAGCCGTTCTAGTTCAGCTCCTAATCCTAATAATGGTAAGTTAGGTTTGCCCTCCGAATAGATAAATTCAGTCCCAGATTAAGAATGGGCTATAATGGCTCTAAACTCTAATATTTAATTGTCTACTTGGCATTGTAACAATCGTTATGCTTGATTTGCAGATTGGATTAATAAGGTCATGACTATCATGTTTTCTATTTAGCAGAACCTGGTGATAATAATGAAACCTCCATCATTATAGGAGTTTTAGTTGCTATTATTATTGTCTTGGTAGCTATAATTGTAGGTGTCTGTGTATACTTAAAAAAAAGGTAAAGTATTTGACTATTCTCATACGTCTCAAGAAATAATTGACTAACCAAATCTTATATCGATATATTCAGTATGTTTCTCAACTTACAGGTCTTAATTGTTAAATCCTACCGTAAACAACCTCTAAACAATGGCACTTTGAGCACATCCGGTTGCGATTTCATTATGCACAGAATACACAAATATAAAGGATTATATCGCTTCTAAAAGCATATATTCTACTGTATGTCAATTGGACCTAGATTTAAACAAATATGCTCGATTTGGTTGATACCTAGATACAGATCTTTCACAAGGTAGTCCTCTATAGCTAATACTCTTGCAATTTTATCATGAATAGCTACCGTTTTTATACCCATACGAAATAGATTTTTTCTCATTATTTATACTTTTTTTCAGAAAATTGTTTCCATCTTCAAGTATCAAAGATCCACCAGTAGTGAATTTCAATGCTACAACGCCTACAGCTGGTCATATCTATATCAATGATACAGTAGAAAATGATTTAACTGAACAGTCAAATGTTAACCATTACAGTTCATTAGGAGCTGCTTATGTGAATGAAAATCCATATGAACAGATTAAAAAGTGATGTGTTTTTCTAACTTTAGTTATATCTGACCAAATATTATTCCATAAAGAATATAATATGAAAGTTATAAAAGGCTGATAATTAAATACAAATCTTGGAAGTTTACAGAACCCATATTTCACAAGTTGTATTCAATGTGCGTTTGCAAATCAGTATTATTGTTTTAAGTTATTCGGACAAAGATTTTTAAATGGAGCCAAAGAAACGTATAAGGACTAAGACCGGTTATTCATTTGCCATCTGTTTCCATGTTAAATCACGAAATTCAACCTTCTATAACTTTTTACAGAAATCTCGTTGAGAACTTTCCAACATGTCATATGAAAGGCTGGCCAATACTAGTTTTTGGACAAAATTCATGTCCATGAAAATCTCGAGCTAGCCAAACTGAAAGTAGACCACTTCATTTTATCAACTTCCGCTTGACTGTCACTGCAAAGTCTATTTATGGAATTATCCTTCCGCATGAAAATCTCTCATAATCTCACAAAACCTGATAGGAAATTCAATTTCAGACATCATATTCCAAATCTAGACCAAATATTAGTCAAAAATAGCAATTCAAAACCCCAAAAGGGAGGGAGAAAGAAGATTTTTAAAAATAGAACGGACTACATTCGTTTACAATCATTTACATGAAAAGTCCATATAAATGTTAACAAGATTAGTACTCCTTAATTGAGGGTGTAGGTAGTAATGATTGACTAACATTCTTATAATGTATATAATTTATTTTGTTTTACTTTTTAAATAATTCAAAAAGCAATGAAATCAATATTTGGTTGGTTTGCAATGATTGTGCTCGAGTTTATTGAGAGATCTGAACCGGTCCCATATGTTTGTACAGAAGCGGATATGTCGTATTCAGGCAGGGTATGCTCACTCTTCGGGACACCTGATACGACTTCTCATTCTGAAATACTTACTCACTTATATTGATATACTTTTCGCCAAAATGTTTCGGGTTTCGTTTTGCGGTCCGGATTGTTAGTATTAATTCCGTCTACACTTACTATTTTTTGGGAACACGTGGAACGCGTTCTTAATCTTATTCAATCTTGTTTTATGGAACGTTCGATGAATCCTGAACGTGCAGAACTCAGCATTCTGGCGACTCTTGTTTATGTTTGTTAATATCCACCGATGTGTATAAATATCTTTGTACGATTATTGTTTTTATAGACACGATCAAAGCATTAGTAACATTTCATTAGGCACATCTTCCTAGATTTTGTTGTATAGTTTGAGCCAAAATAATTTCGACTTAAAAAAAAGCGGAATGTCCCTTTAACCTTAGTCTAAAGCCTATTTATGAGTAAAAATTAATACTTTCAATACAACTCTTTTGTAATATTCCTTATTATATTGTGTTCTTCTATATTTAGTTATACACGTATATTGTAAATAGTGTGAAGCTTGTGAACGAACTTGATAGAAACGAATAGATATTTTCTTTTGAATATAACATACATTTCCATTTTTTTGTCTTTGTTTAGATATTCTGAATAAAATATAACCGACATAACTTTTGTCATTATCACAATAGATCAATTCGTCACTTTAAACTTTATTGAACGCCATATTTTGTTTAATGGGGGAAACATTGTCTAGACAGCTTTTGTCGAGAGATCTTTAACGTGCACAATCTAAATAAGTCTCGGGTGTTGCCACTAGACCTTGGCAGCAGGAATATACAGTGACCTATGGTCAGAACCGAACGCCAGATGTTATTGTTAAAAGTAATTATATTTTTTTAGCAAAATGCCATATACCTCATGAAGATATAGTTGACTATGATGTTAATCACGAAGTTTTTCAACTAGTATATCATATCAACTTCCTTGTTAGTAAAATAATACGGTGGCTCACATACGACATGATTTGAATTGAAAACTTTAATTATAACCTAGGTGATAATTACTTTCACCAAGGTGAAAATTAGGTGATAATTCCTGTAACTTTCAATAAAAAACTTTAATTTTCACCAAGGTAATAATCCGATGAATTTTGAATTAAAAACATTTTTCGCCGTTCTTTACAAGATGGAAGCTGGTCATATGGACAAAACTAGTTGAAAATGAAAAATTAAACTTTTTAATTGAAAATAAGAGTAATTAGGTGAATATTAAAGTTATTATTTGAAAATTACAGGAATTATCACCTAATGTTTTTTAATTAAAAAATTAATTATCACTTAGGTGAATTAGGTGAAAGTTTTTAATTCAAAACTAAAGTGAAATAATGTCGTATGTGAGCCACCGTAGAATAAGAAAACATCATTCTTATACCTTTTATTATTGTTTTTGAAGCCTTGACAATGTTAATAATGTTTTTAGATTCAATATAGTTATATGTTGAAAAAGCAAAGTGGTAAATCAAGTTTTAGTCTAATGTAAATTTCTTCCTGGTTGAAAAATGACAAAATATTTTATATTCTGTGGTGTCGTTGTTCAATATTTTCTTGTTGCAAATTGTAAGTATGATGTATGTACGGTTTTATAGTTCTGCTATTAATGATGTTGTATTGATGTTCATTCTTCTATTATTATTATAGTGTTCTGGGTGTTAAGACCATTGTACTATCTACATACCATTGTGGGTTGGGCAATGTAATATGATATTTTCTGTATTGCGGCATGCTTATTAACAGTGTTACAAATATAGCGATATAGGAAATCTCATAAAATTGCTATATAAAAAGCATTTGATGTGTTTAATATATACTCAACTGTCACACGAGATCCAAAATCTGAAACACGGTGTTGACCAGTCATGTATACATCTCATTATATGCCAACCAGATCCCAAAATTGTTGTAAAAGACACTCACAACACGTCTTTCTTCTCTTTTTCATCCATTTTTCAGCCAAAAATTTATATTTCCAACTCAATTTCCTAAACAAATTTCTAATGGCCCGTATGCACCATATAAAATCAAATTAAGAAGAATAGACTTATTTTAAACCTTAAATAGGAATAAACATTGTTCTAGCACCACGTGGGGGGTGGTTTCGAAAAAAATATGTGCAGCTAAGATTTCGTTGAAATCGTTCAATGGATGGTCGGAGATAATTCAAGTTAGCTATCTTTGGTGTGGGAATAAACTTAAGTCCACAGTCTAAGATTGAATGCTGAAGGGGTGTGAGAGTTTTGCGGCTCAAGTTAACTACAGTTTGGCCTAGCGGTGGCCTCTCAGTATTTTTATCCCCAGTAATTAGTTTAAAGACTTACTCGATGCTTGAAGCTGGTGTATCCAAAACAAATAGATGCTGTTTGCTGTTTCTGGAGACCAGTGAAGATTATCAACTGTTTCGAATTCTTCTTCGTAGGGTGGTAAGATTGTTGCGCTGTTGATACTGGACTCCATCATCATGTTGTTGAGAGTGCTGAGGTTCTGTTGTGCTTTCTTCGAGATTTTATTTGAAATGGGTATACATGTGAAGAGGATCTTGGAGTTTGGGAAGGTTTTGTTGGCTGTGGCGATTAATTTCTGGGCTTGGTTAAAGGAGGTCTTTGGTATCTGATCACGGTTGTTGAGGCCTACATGAAGAATAATGGTAGTAGGTTTGGGACCATGGTCGTATGATTCCAGGATTGACTGTATGTGATGGATTTG